CTCTTGGATATATTTTAGGGCAACTTGGTCCAGATGGTAAGGAACATGTCATCTGTTATGGGGGACGATCACTTCATTCGTCAGAAAAGAATTGGGGGGTGACACAGCTAGAATGTTTGGCAGTCGTAGAGGGCATAAAAACGTTTAGAGTCTATTTGGCTGGAAACAAATTCAAAATTTACACTGATCACAAGGCACTTACTTGGCTCAAAAACATTAAGGAAGAAACAGGTCGCCTTGGTCGATGGTCAATCATGTTACAAGACTATGATTTTGATATAGTCCACAGGCCAGGCAAATCAAACACAAATGCAGATGCTTTGTCTCGCACGAAATACCCTGAGCCTAAGATTGCACCTGTCACAGATGACATTCCGTCTCCTCCATTGCCCTCCAAGAGAAAGTATGCCCATGTTGTCTCATGCAAATCCAACACCACAGACAAAGCAGTTTTAGTCGTATCTGCATCTCCCTTTGCACCCTCTTCAACCCCTGATGCATCCCCAACCTCACCCCTTCCTTCCACATCAACCTCTGTCCCTCTTACTGACCCACCATCAACCTCCCTATCATCTCTTCACCAGGATCCAGACACTCCTGAGCCACTAGCGGTTGATTTGTATTATGCTAACAAACCACCCTCATCTGGTCCATCTCTCATCGTTGCAGCGATTGACACAGACGATGATCAGTTGGTGACACAGCAATACAATTCCCCTGACCTTAGACCCATTATTGACTACATCTCCAAAGGTGAAATCCCTGCAACTTACAAAGATGTTCAAGTCAAAGGTCTTGTAGGTCGCTCACAGGAATATGTTGTTAGAGATGGTATTCTCTATCATGTTTATCAAGCTAAACATAGAGGTGCCAAGGCCCATAGACCTCCTCAAATTACACAGCTTGTTGTCCCACTTATCAAGCGCAAAGATCTCCTATTTGCCTATCATGACTCAAAAGTAGGAGGTTGTCATCTGGGTAGGGATTCTACTTTTCAAGCACTCCTGTCTAAGTACCACTGGCCTGGCATGTATCAGGACATAGACAACTACATTAGGTCGTGTGAGACATGTCAGAAAATTAAACCCATGACTCATGGCAGACATGCTCCTATGGTCCCAATGCCCATCGAGGATACCTTTTCACGCATTCATATAGATATCCTTGGTCCCCTCCCTGAAACCAAAGATGGTTTTAAATATGTCCTGCTGGTAGTGGATTCCTTTTCCCGCTGGACAGAGGGCTTTGCTATGAAAACTCAAGATGCCACTGAGGTAGCCAACATTCTTTTCAATCAGGTCATCACTCGCTTTGGTGCTCCCAAAACTCTCCTGTCGGATAGAGGTCGGCAGTTCACTTCTAAACTTGTCAATGCCCTTTGTGAATTGTTGGACATTAAGCATCATCTGACATCGTCATATCATCCTGAAACCAATGGCATGTGTGAAAGACGCAATAGGACCATTGAACAGGCACTCAGAGCCTACTGTGACTCTGACCAATCCAACTGGGCAGACCTAATTCCCTGCATAATGATGTCAATGCGCAGCGCACCATGTGCCTCCACTGGCTACACTCCCTTCTATCTGCTCTTTGGCAGAGAGATGCATCTCCCTATTGATGTTGCCCTTCTTCCAAAGCCATCTCTAGGCAAAACTGCAGAGCGTCATCTTAAGACCCTTCTGGACAATCTCAGAGTAGCCAAGACCATTGCCAAAGACAATATTAAATTGTCCCAAGACATCAACAAAGAGCGCACTGACCTCAAAGCTAGAGAGCCCCAATTCTCTATAGGTGATTTGGTCCTGATGAAGAATTCCCATGTACTTCCCGGTAGGTCCCCAAAGCTGTCAGTTAAATGGTTAGGGCCTTACTCAATTCTCGAGTTAGGTCCAAATCACACCTTCAAACTGCAACATGTCCAAACAAACAAAACACACAAGGCCCTTATCCACGCCAATCGAATCAAGCCTCACATTGCTCGCCAAGCCAATGACAGACTTCCAGATTACATTCCTGCCCCTGGAAGTCAGTCTCCTAATCCCAGCACTTCTGCTGAAGACAACACACGCCCTGACACACACCAGACCCCGCACTCCAGCACTTCTGCTGACAATCACACTCAATGCAACACACAGATGGTACCTCCAGAGCCACACATCTCTGATTCAGGCTCTTCACCATCTACTTCTCAGCAACAGGAAGACACATCACAAGACGATGAAACATTTCCTGTTGAACAAATACTTAGATGTAAACGGGCAAAGGGTACCAAAATGTACCAAATCAAATGGTTAGGCTATTCACAAACTACTTGGGAGCCTGCTTCCAATCTTGATCCATCCCTGATCAAGCATTTCCATAGGTCTCGGACAATGTCTGGTAGGCGGCGCAAACTTGGGCACAAGTTTTTTCAGTAGATCATTTGCATAGGTGTTGTTTGGCTACCACAGTGATCTTTATGACGTGAGTCAATTTGCCATTGTTATGAGTGACCAACCCCTTTTGCAGTTACCCAGTTTCTGTGTCCTATAGTGCTAGGTTGTTTTGATGTTTGTGGCCACAACATTCTTCTCAGCCAGGTCAACTCTAATGGCTTCCTTTCTCATTTCATCAAAGGTCCGTCCTGGAGCTTGATAATCCTGTGGCTTATGGCTCTGTTCGCTCATCCTACCCTTGGCACCAGTCCAGTACAAAGACTCAACTATGGCATAGTTTTTCAGCCTACCACCCAAGCCCATTTCTCAACAGAATATTGGACACACACTTATGAAGTTAAGATGCCCCATATTCCAAGCATTCCTACCATGAGCGGATGTCATCAAGGCAATGGCACATGCGCTCTCCTACATCAAATACAAATGCATCTTAACGTTATTAAAACTAAATGTGTCGCCAAACTGAATGAAACAAGACAGCAAATACTTAAATTAATTCCAGAATCCAAAATCCCATCATCCAGTCGTTCAAAACGAGCCGTCCTTAGTTTTGTAGGTTCACTTTCAAAACTTTATTTGGTACAGCCACAACTGACGACGTCAACCTGCTGGCCAAGCATATAAATGCGCTTACCAAACATGACATCAACCTTTCAAATGTATTACAGCAGCACTCAGTCCATCTCTCCTCTTTCATGAAATTAGTAGACACTCGCTTTAAAATGCCCTAAAAGGCGTTAAGGCAAATCATGATGCCGTCACGTTCACAGCCACTGCAATACAGAATAATGCTAAAAATATCCAATCCACCTTTGCATCCCTGACTTCCCTTCTAATTGACCAAATACAAAAGTCAAATACTGTGGAGCATCAGCTTGAGGAACTGAAATTAGGAATTTTAGACTTGGCTAAGAATAAGTTGTCTCCCCTGCTCATTGCCCCTCATATTTTGGAACAAACGATCCATCATCTGGCATTAATTTTATCCAATAAATACCCAAATTTCCATTTGCTCCAAACAAGTCCAACCTTTTACTATTCTCATGCTAAATTTATCTTCGCTCGCACGAAGTCACATATCTATGTTTCTGTTAAATTTCCCTTATCTTCTTTGACTACACCTTTTCAAATATATAAAGTTATCTCTGTCCCAGTGCCTGTGAACAATACTTCCTCCCACTCCACCCAACTGTTGGACGCTCCATCTTATTTTGCCCTTTCATCTGATTCTCGGCATCACATTAGCCTTGATCCTTCTAGTCTAGCCTCCTGCACAGGTGATGATTTTGTTATCCACTGTCCCTTCAGAATAGCGCTTCAGTCTTCACCTAAACCATCATGTGTCCTTGCACTTTTCCAAAACAGTAAAAGTCTCATCAAGTCACTTTGTGATTTCCGCTATGTTACGAAAGCTCAACCACCTCAACTTATCTCAGTTGATTCCTCTAATGTCTTAGTTTATAGAATTCCATTTCTTACACTTACCTGTCCCACCATGCATCGTGTGATTTCTGGCTGTAATTTTTGTCTTATTAAGACTCCTTGCTACTGTTCTCTCTCTACTGAAGATCTCTTTTATCCTGCACCCTTCGGTTCCTGTCGTACATCTCACACTCAAATCACACATCTACATCCTGTCAATCTTGCTCTTCTTCAACACTTCTTTGATGACTCTACCCTCTCTAGCATTGCTGGTGATACCACCTTTCGAAAAATGGTTAATTTCTCAATTCCTAAATTTAACATTTTTTCGCATGAAATTTCTAGTGTTTTGGCCAATGATCAAAAATCGCATCTAAGTCTGAAGCGTGTGGCAGAAAGCGCTAAGAAAACTGAAACAATATTTCAGTCTATTGCGGAGCCTCTGCTTGATGGGCAAATCACCTTACCAAGTTCCTGGCCAGATACTAATGCCATAATTGCCATAACAGCTTCAGGTACTTCAATTCTTTCGATTATCTTGTGTATTTGGATGTTTTACAAAATTCGTGCACTCTCTGCAGCAATGTTATTGGTCACTCGGGTTTCTCCAGTAACAACGGTACAACCCCCATCGTTGAATTATAATCCCCAAACTACTGCCAGTCCCAGCTTCGTTGTTTCTGATCTTGCAGACTACCATGTCTCAATTCTTCTGGGAGTCATCACCCTTGCTGTCACCTCTATTCTTCTCCTCCTAATCTATCAACGCAATACTCGCAATACTCACAATGGTCTTGTTCTGGAACTCACACTAAAAGAACACTGTTTCATAACCATAATAACTGTACACTGTTACAGTGCTCTTACTGTGCTCATGGTTTAATGACCTTTCAACAAAGATATTATGCAAGGAAACATAACAATATCGATTATTGCCGTGTATGAAACGTTCCTGGTATATAAATTTGTTTTAGTATCAAAAGTATACAACGCGTGATATTGCCGTAATGTTTTGTCACACGCCCATACGGAAATGTAACCATCAGTGTGTGCGCTTGGTGGATGTACGGGGTTATATAAAGAGAAATTAAAGTTTAAAACAGACATGCTGTTGAGGCAGATAAACAGACGGATACCAACCATGTCTTTGGGGTGGAACTAGTTTGGACATAATGCCTCTAGCCATAGGTGACACCAGGAACCCAATGAGACCCACACCAGGAACTGAAACAAAACAGGTCATTTGGGACTTAGTATGTGCATGAATCAATGTTCAGGCTTATCTCACACAGCAAAATATACACTTATTCACATCTGTGGCAAATGACACCACGTGACATATGTTTGAGCATGATCGTGACTAGGTGTAGTGGATGCTGTAACACTGGATGAATGAGTGAGTATGGTTTTACGCCGTTTTTAGCAATATTCCCGCAATATCATGGCGGGGGACACCAGACATGGTCTTTACACATTGTACCCATGTGGGAGAATCGAACACGGACTTTCAGTGTGACGAACGGACACTTTTACCATGAGGCTACCCCACCGCCCCAACACTGGATGAAATGGATGTGTTTGAGTGACACAATCTATTACATAATGAAAACACATTTGGCTAAACAACCTCGTCATTCGTGATAAACTTTGAATTTTGCCTTTTTTTCCAGAATCAGTCACAGAAAGGTAACTTACATGCCAGATACAACATCCAGCCTGATGTTGCTAAACCGAACAGGACGTCTCCGATGATGACAAACACTGATCCCAACACTCCCAAAACTTCATCGGAGATGTACTTCTGTAGCCCTTTGACCACGCCTGTTCCTACAGTACGCCTTACCACAGTGCTCACTGTATCGTATATGCCGTTCTGGAAGGGGCTCCAACAGAATGGCTGGTTCATCTCGAACAGGAGGTCCACGTTGATCTCCGACGACGTGCTGATGACCGAAAAGAAGAACGCTCCCAAGCCGACCCACAACAAGACGCGCTGACGTAGATCTCCTTCCTTCACGAACAGGCGATACACGTTGAAGATGTACGAACACCTGCTCTGACTGGTGTTATTATTCACCACGGTGTCTGTTAAACATACTGCCACGATACATATCCCTAAGACCGTCACGCAACAGGCCAAGACAGAAGGGTAGAAGAATCCTGAACGTAAGATGAAATACCCAGCTGCAGTTGATGCTGCTGCCTCAGCTAAAGCATTTATGCACTCCAAGAATAGCATTCCAAAGGATCGAGCCTGTTGTGGAGGGGTGTTGTCAGCGATGTAGGCATACGCCAACAGCATCAGACCCCACGGCCCTCCGAACATCCCGTCTACACTTGACACAATGTAAAAGTAGTCTATGCTGAGATGGAACCAGATTATCACAGATGCAATGGCATTTCTCAAAAGTTGGCCTATAATGCATGTTATGAAAAGAAACTTTCTCCCGATGATATCTGAATAAGCTCCGAGTCCTATATTAACAACACTGGCGATGATCCCCCCAACAAGAGAGAAATGCCACAAAACAGTTGATGTTCGTTCCTGGACAGTCTCCACCATAACATACCCAGGGTCGGAGGTGTTCTGGAAACACGGAGCCAGAACGCTGTAGTTCTTTATACGACTGTCGTTCCCGAACACGTCATCAGCAACTCTGTGGTACACGTACTGACCCAGCACAGGTTCATATATCTTCGTAGAACATGTTAGAACACCCACGATGATGTTGACTACGATGAGGTTCCTCACATTGGTTGTGGTTCCTGTCGGGGTGGACAGCACATCGATCAGTGGTTCGTCATCCATGATCCTGACTTAGAAGGGCTGTGGTAGGCGTTAACACTTCAGATGGCGTATGGAGAGGCTAAACGGTCGGTGTTGGTTATGACGAACTTCTATACATGTCACCTGATTACTTCCAGTGTACGGAACAGCCTAGACTTGAACAAGTCTCTAATAATTAATAGTTCAAATGATGATTTCTTAAAAATATAACATCCCTGTAACAGACTGGCGTCCTTAGATATTGTCCACTAATCTAGACTTGCCTCTTTCAAGGATAGAATTGCTCTTCGTCCAGGGGCTTAGCCTTCAATACAGCCTTGGTGCAAGCTAGGAGCAGCCAGGGAGTGAAATTGTTCCAACGAAGGCCAGGGTGATATTGGCAACATGGGTACACTGTGAGAAACCCAGTGCTGATACTCTCCGACGTATCATTGCTTGAATATAGCTGAAAGCGACGTAAGATTATACTTGCAGGGTGAAATACATTGATCCTCATTGACTTTAAACGCTTTTTTGTTTATAGACCAAATGGTTGTGCTGACAAAAAACGTAAACAGCACAAACAACTCTCAGACCATGTGATTTCACACAAAGACGTTGATCTCAACAAGGTTAATTCCATACATTTTTCTTTTCTATCAGAGTATTATTTCACTCAGTTGCTCTTCGTGATTCGTACTGTCCGGCATTGGGCACATACATATTTCACGGATGTACATTGACACAAGATACAAAACCAGGAATATGAACGTCCAGGAAATATCGCCTTCCCTGTGAATCACATGGCTCTTCGTTAAGAACTGCTACTGAGTGACCTGTATATTAACCATGCACTCTAAATGACCCCATCGTATAACGCCCCCTTTTGACCCAGCAAGGCGGAAGAAGAGAGAGAGAGAATTGTTTGTACGAGCTGACCTAGATATCGCACAGGATAGACGTCAGTTATATAACTGCTGGTGTCAGAGTAGCTTGTATGTGCTTCATTCTGTTCTTCATTCTGTCGCGTGTAACGGAATACGAAGACAAACAACGTTTACTAGCCTCTGAAATGAACATATTTTACAGGGAAAAGGTTCATAGTGAAAACGATAATGAAATATAATGAAAAGGAGCCCTGAGACCTGAAGCTTTGGAAATCTGGATTTGCAACATTTTCTAGACTTGCGTGGGCTTTCTTGGATATATTTGCTTCAGGGTCTGTATGACAGACTACGGACTACGTAATGTTCAGAGGACTGACCAGTGCCGTTGGAATCTAGGGTAAAGCTGAACCCTTTGTTCTAGCCATAGGTACTCATATATTCGGATATAGTACTGGGACATGCTTAGCTAACATCTAGTCTCTGAAATGAACATATTTCACAGAAAGAAACTGTTCACAGGCAATAATCATAAACTTTCTTCATTCTCAGAAACTGTGGAAATCTAGGCTTGCCACATATTCTAGACTTGCATGGGCTTTCTTGGATATATTTGTTTCAGTACGACAGACTAGGACATGCTTTCTGCCTTGCTCCCAGCGCAGGCAACCATACTAAATACTGTAGTTTGTCTCAGTACCTGAATCGGATTATTTCCCCTTCCACCCAGCCCTCCCTGCAATGCTAAAGCTCTAAATGAAGCAAGTCTAGATTATCCAGGTTCTGAATCTCCTATCTCGCTGGCGCACCTTTTCAATTTAAAGGGAATTTGTTTCTACCAAAATTATATATATTCAGAGACTAAGCGTTAGTCTATATTGCAAAACGCTCAATCTAACCATTCACACTCAAAGCAGATAGCATGATAATGTAGGGATCGTGCACTCAGTGGTTTGTTGTCCAAAACCTGTCATATTAAATGTCAAGTGTTAATTGCCGCTGTAAACTGTACATATAGAACTTTATCAGTATACAGATGTAGTCCACAAATGGGACCGTCCATTAGGCGAAAGTACCTACCCGAGCCAGTATTTAAATAACCTGTAACACTAGCAATACCTTAGTATTCGTAAGATTACTTGTACACAACATAACTATAATTCCTAATGAATTATTTCCCATTTCATATTTAAATGCGAGTATGGTAATATCTCATGTTAGTACAACCTGTTAGGTAAAAGCCGCCTCCGTGGTGTACTGGTTAGAGCGTCCGCCCGGAGAGCGGAAGGTCGCGGGTTCGATCCCCTGCCCCGTCATACCAAAAGGTGGGGGTAGCCTAATGGTTAAAACGTCCTCTCGTCACGCCAAAGACCCGGGTTCGATTCCCTAGATGGACAAATTGTGTGAAGCCCATTTCTGGTGTCCCCCGCCTTGATATTGCTGGAATATTGCTAAAAGCGGCGTCAAACCAAACTCACTCGCTCAATCCCCAGACCAATTGGAAGCATTATTCTGTGCGAGATACACATTCTTCATACAATATATAATACTGTTAGATATATAATGCATATCCATTCAATGATCGCCTGCTGTTACACATATTCTGGTCCTTTGTTATCTAAAATGTGAACATTTATTGGGATGTATCAGAGATAATTACCCGAATAACTCAGCTGCATTAACCTGAAACGTCTAATCACAAACTTACATTTAAAATTATTTTTTGAATAGAAAAATGAAGTTAATCATAAACGTCATTCCACTCAACAATATATTGCAGCTGCAAACCAGGAAATTGACTGAGCCATGTTATATACAACTATACAAATCAATGATCAAATCAAAGGGTCCCTTTAACGACTAAAGCTATGGGGTGCTAGGGGCACACTTACTACAGGTCCCACAGGTCGATCAATGTGGAAAATTGTACTTTCGAACCACATTTCCGTGTGGAAAATATTTTCGAGTTGCTGTACATTGCGAGCAAAAGGTTTCTTGATGTTAGGGTCAACGGGTTTTGGATTGACAGGGATGCAAACTTATACAATTTAGTTTGAGAGATATGTGCCAGATTTAGCTAAATACAACAGTACGCTTACAATAGCTGTCGCAATCTCGTTATGTTAATAAAGCAGATGCGTCATTCTGCAAAACTACCTATTGGACCTGTGAAGATCCGGGTAAGAATTGGTCTTGAGTAACCCATGCTTATCGTAAGTGGTGACTAACGGGACTGGGTGGTCAGACTCGTTGACTTTGTTGACACATCCTGTCCCAATTGCGTAGATCGATGCTCGTGATGTTGATCACTGGATTATCTGGTCCCGACTCGGTTATTTACAGGGGGCGGTGGGGTAGTCTAGTGGTTAAAGCGTTGGCTCGTCACGCCGAAGACCCGGGTTCGAATCCCCACATGGGTACAATGTGTGAAGCCCATTTCTGGTGTCCCCCGCCGTGATGTTGCTGGAATTGCTAAAAGCGGCGTAAAACCAAACTCAGTCAGTATTTACAGACCGCGCCATATAGTTTGAATATTGCAGCTTTAAACAACAAACAAGCAAACGATATCTATAGTCGACGAAGCGTTATGATGATAACTAGTGCTTCGTCACACCATACATTGTAAGTGTCTGCAATCTTAACTTCCGATACATATGCCCTATGTATACAAAGTCTAAATGTGCAAGTGAGTTAAGGTGAGGTGAAATTGGGTTTTAAGTCGTGCTTGAGAATATTTCGCTCATATGACGACGTGCATGTGCGGCTGCTTGTACTAGCCCGGACTTAAGCTGCTTTTATAGTGCTAGCCCACTGAGATACCATGCCGCAGTGAAGCATGAATACCCCACTCAGACATATTATACTGACTCCGAGCCGACCATTTATTTATTTGTTGTACCCATTAATGCCGAGGGACCAACAAGTACCATATTTTAACGTCTTTTGGTATGACGCGGTCGGGGATCGAACCGGCGACCTTCCGCTCTCCGGGCGGACGCTCTAACCACTACACCACGGAGGCGGTCCTAAATGTACAAGTACACATGTAAGTTAAATATACTAAACATAAAGTAAATCATGCATATTTTCACTTATATAATATTCATTTGTTCTGACAAGCTGTTGAGGACTTGTAATTAACGTTTTATTGTATTGTAAAACATGATTCTGTAAATTGATACTATACAAATGCATCGACAGTGAAAATATCGGACAGAATGAATCGAAAACATGTCAAAGTTTGGTGAGTGAGTGTTGTTTGAATAAAGACGGCTTCTGTTATCTATGCCAGGAGTTGATAACATGCGCAACGAGTTATGGCATCACTCGGTTGGGTAGCTTAGTGGGTGAAGTGTTCGCTCGTCACACCGAAGACCCGGGTTCGATTCCCCACAGGGGTTCAATGTATGAAGCCCATTTCTGGTGTCCCTATTGCTGGGATATTGTTAAAAGCGGCATAAAACTAAACCCAACCATTCGCTTCAATTGTGGGTCTATGGAGTCCTATGGCCTATGGATCACGGAATACCCAAGGAGTATTTGCACACAGAACAGTCAGTCATCGTAATAAGATGGAAAACTGTTGTACTCAAGCATGTGACAGTTGGATTCAGCAGAAATAGCTAAGAGTGAGTGAGTTTAGTTTTAAGCCGTACTCAACAATATTCCAACTATATGGCGGCGGTCTGTAAATAATCGAGTCTGTACCAGACAATCCAGTGATCAACAGCATGACCATCGATCTGCGCAATTGGGAACCGATGACATGTGTCAGCTAAGTCAGCGAGCCTGACCGCCTGATCTCGTTAGTTGCCTCTTACGACAAGCATGGGTTACCGAAGATCAATATTCTAACCCGGACCTTCACGGGTCAGAAATAGTTAAGAGGACTTTCAGGTACATGAACATGTTTTGCCCGGACTTATGGATGAGATATACAAATGCGTCCACTTAACTTACTTACTTAAAATGATGTGAGCAATGTTCAGTATTGCCTTTATAACAGTTTTAATAGCTTATCCAAAATCCTTTAATCCAAAATGGAAAGTGAAGGCCAGAAAAATAGAGTGAGTGAGTGAGTTTTACGCCGCACTCAGCAATAATCCAGCTATATGGCGGCGTACTGTAAATAATCGAGTCTGGACCAGACAATCCAGTGATCAACAGTGTGAGCATCGATCTGCGCAATTGGGAACCGATGACATGTGTCAACGAAGACAGCGAGCCTAACCGCCCGATCCCGTTAGTCGCCTCTTACGACAAGTATGGGTTACTGAAGATTCATTCAGTCGTAGATGGCGTAGTCGACACTATCGGTACGAATACGGCCCAATTGTTACAGTATTTCACTATTGTGAACAACATCTATATAGTTATCAGTAGCTGGCATTCATACAGTGGGTCAAGGTTTGATATCCCTGTCACCAGTCTACTGATAATAGTGTCATTTACTAGTACGTTGCTTGTAAACATGGAGAAAACACCTCTCCTTGAGAAGGCGGCGCCCGGCTCCAGGGTAAATGTTAAGAGGTTGCTTGTTAACAACGTAATTGTGTGCCTATTGGCAACGGGTACACACATTTACATGCCCGTGATGAGCCAATACATCTACCATCGTGCTGCAGACTCCGTATTCGGAAATGACACTCGCATCAAGAACTTCACCGTGCTGGCTCCCTGCTTCCAGAACACTTCAGATGAGGGATACCATCTTCAGGAGAAGGCTCAGAAGCTCGCCTCTACCAAATTATGGCAGTATTCCAGTGCATCCGCTGGTTTCGCAGTCTTCAGCAACATCATCATTGGATCTTACTCCGACATCATTGGAAGAAAATTTCTATTCCTTTGTCCAATGGCTGGTCATTTATTGCGGAACGCAATGACTGCAGTGATAATTTATTGGCGCCTGGATTTAAATTATTTTTTCCTCGCTACAGGTATGGATGGTTTGCTTGGCGGGGGCTGGGGCTTTATGTTAGCTACCATGGCCTACACGGCAGACCACACGCCTCCCGAACAGAGCAGGAGTTTGAACATCGTCATCCTGGAATGTGTAATAGGTCTGTCAGAATCATTAGCGTCTACAGCCACAGGCTACTTCATTCAAAACACTGGGTTCTTCTATCCATCTCTAACATCCGCAGCAGTGACGCTTTTGGATATGGTCCTTGTGATATTCTTTTTAGAAAGTCCTAAACATGAGGATTCTGATGGCAAGGAGAACAGTAAATCCTTACTGCAAGGCCTACGTAATATTACTGACATATACTTTGGTGGGACTGTTTTGAAACGGGCTATCTTCTGGCTTGGACTCTTTGCGTTCTTCTTCGCGTCTCTGTGTGATTCAGGAGGATCTAACATAGACACGCTGTTCTTCATGAACTTGCCTTTCTGTTGGAGCCCCGAAAAGATGGGTGTGTACGACACGATAAGCACAGTGGTAAGGAAGACTTTTGGTGTGGCGATTGTCCGGGTCTTACAATGTTGTTCCTCTGACGCTGTCATGGGGATCTTAGGTTCCTTGTCAAACGCTGGGGGAGAAATGTTGTTTGCCTTCGCATCGACAGAGTGGATGCTCTACCTTGGATGTAAGTAACTCAGTAATGTGTAGAGTCGTGGTTTTCATTATATGTTAGGCAGCCTTGTTCATGGTGTGGCTCCCCACAGCTGGTTAAAGAGTTACGTCCCCTTGTTCACAGAGAAGAGGCGTTTATTGTGTCGTTGTGTTAAGTTTGTTGTGGACACGTGTACATGGTTGTGCGGCACATGTGAGTGCGTTTGAGTGAGTGAGTAAGTGAGTGTGTGTGTGTGTGTGTGTGTGTGTGTGTATGTGTTTATTATAAGAATAGTCCTATAAAAGTATTAACAAATCTGTTTGATCACATATACGAACACTAAAATGCTCTTTTTGTAGTAGAAGTATTAGGGTCGGTGGGGTAGACCAGTGTTTAAAGTGTTCGCTCGTCACGCAGAAGACAGGGTTCGGTTCTCATATGGGTACAATGTGTGAAGCCCATTTCTGGTGTCCCCCGCCGTGATATTCCTGGAATATTGCTAAAGGCGGTGTAAAACTAAACTCACTCACTCACTCACTATTAGAAGTATTTAGACATATTCATAACCTTATAACAGGAATCAGAATAATGTGATGTGGAACTTAAGTTCGACATTGTCTATATCATTCCAATTGGGAGACTAGTAAAAGAAAGATATACGATATGGTGCAATGAATAACATAAGATTGATGGGGTAGTCTAGTGGTTAAACCTTTCGCTTGTTACGCCAAAGACCTGGATTCGTTTAACCAAATGGGTACAATGTGTGAAGCCCATTTCAGTTGTACCCTGCCGTGATATTGCTGGAACATTGCTAAAAGCGGCGTAACGCCATACCCACTCACTCATAAATAACACAATGATAATTTGAACGCCAACAGTTTGTCTCGCAAGTGAAGGCGTACAGAAGATGCGAGACCATTCAACCTCAAACTAACTGTCGGGTAGCCTAGTGGTTAAAGCGTTCGCTCGTGAAAATCTGGGTTCGATTCACCACGTGGGTACAATGTGTGAATCCCATTTCTGGTATCCCCCACCGTGATATTGATGGAATATTGCTTAAAGCCAAACCAATCGGTAGTTGTTTTTCCCATAAGGTTATTCATGTGTCGATAGCCACAGAAGGTGTAATAACCGATTACCCACACATGCTCAGCGTAATATCGTATGTCTGAAGAATCTGTATTATGTTAGAGGAGTAAAACTATTATGTGTTCATAGTTTGGTTTTGCAATCACTGAAGAACTATGGGTTACAGTTCGGTTTTGCTATCACTGCAAAACTACTATTCAAAGTTTGGTTTTGCTTTCATTCCATATCTATCATGCCTTACAGTTCCTGGTGTTGCTATCATCGGTTTTCTTCCAACACCAATGGCCAGGAGTGTTTTGTCCAAGCAAGTTCCATCAAATAGACAAGGTATGTTTCAAGACAAGGTATTCTGTTTTGGCTTTGTTTTGGGAGGGATCGTGGGTTATTCCTTGTATATTTGTTTCATCTGGGACGATGTTTCTGTTGGTGGTCTGAGCTCCCCGATTTTGATTATACTCTCGGTAGCATCGATCAAATGTGATATCAACTGTGAAAAAGGCAGCTTTTCAGTACAATTGTACAGTTTTTCGCCCAATGAACTCGGATAATCGAGACCTGCTATTCCCCGATGTTTCGCAAGAGCAATTATTCACCTATATGACGGAGGATTGCAATTAATCAAGTTTGCATCCGACAATCCAGTAATGGATAAAATGTAATAACGAGACACATATTCCCGTCTGTATATCCACTGGACTATTCTGAACGAGTGTATAATTGCCAGGTGCAATATTCGCGAGTCTGGCAGTGGTGCAGGCGTTGTGCTCCGTGGCAGCAGCTGTTGTCTACAACAACATCTACCAGATGACTGTCATCTACTGGCGAGGCGCGGTGTATGTGTCATATGCTGTAACCAATGGCATCACAGCGATCATTTTCATGTGAGTAAGGGATCAGTTCCAAAAGTACGATGTCGGATAAAATCTTAATTCCTTAAGTTTAAATTTGTGTACCTGCTCTCTCTGTCTTTCTCTGTCCCTCTGTCTGTCTCTCTCTGTCTTTCTGCCTGTCTCTGTCTTTTCTGTCTGTCTGTATCTCTTTCTGTCTCTCTCTCTCTCTCTCTCTCTCTCTCTCTCTATCTTTGTGTCTGTGTGCATGTGTATATATCTTTTTTTATTTGTTTTGTTTGTTTTGTTTTTGTTTGTTTTTTGTTTGTTTGTTGTTGTATTTTTTTTTGGGGGGGAGAGAGTGTGATTCAACATTTTCAGAATAAATATTTTGCATAGAGGTTGGTACTATTTCTGAAACCTTTAGGAATTCTTAAGTTTGACTTACATTGTACTTTTGAACTGTCCCTAAACATATAGGTTTTGTTTGTTCTACTAATCCAAGTAAAGGTACATTCGTGGATATCATAAAATTGTTTTGTGAAACCAAATTCCAGGATTCCGAATGCTAAATACGTATTTTTGTGGCCCAGATAATATACCTTGGTTTCTTTTGTCATGCTAACAGTTAACTAACTGATTGATCTGTGAAGCAAATTAGTTCATATCATTATTAGAATGATTGATTTTCGGTTGTCAGCAAAACAATATAACCTGTCACCTTTGACTGTAGGAATGTTTACAGTATATCACTGAAACTAAACAACCAACTTTTGAACAACTCGCTACTTATGTCTATATTGATAAGACGCTAACTCACCTTGTACGATCATAGAGTGTATTATTGTAATGTTTCAGAGTGATGGCGATCCTCATACGGAAACAACGGGAATCAAAAACAGTACAAATCCATGTGAACTAGAGTGGCGTTTTCCTTTGGCTGAGTGTATAAACCCAAGAAGAAATGTCAAAATGCATTGACTTGGCGCTGTCGCTCACGTTATGTGGCCAACAGTTATAAACATCGAGATAGACTGAGATTGAGAAACATTTTATCTACATACAGCAACATTTACATATTGACAACAAAGCTGCAACTCTGAGCCTCTGAAAATGTACCAGATACATCAAATTATTGAAATAACAGCTTGATTTCATTTCAGCCTTAACCATTGTAATGATAACAAAATAGTTGAGCATTTGAGAATTCAATACTTTTGTATTAAATGTTGCTGTAACGAGAAACCTGGTTCCATGATATGCATAACAATTAAGAAACAGACCATATACGATATAGTGCAAACGCATAGATGAATGGCAGAAGAACATAAACATACGATTTATTTTGAACACACTATAATTAAACATAAAAATACATGCACCAATACATAAAACATGATACACATGTAAAGCTACATAAGTAATATCACACTCACACACACACACAGACACACACTCTCTCTCTCTCTCTCACACACACACACACACGCGAGCGCGCGCGCACACACACGACATATGAGCATACATAGGCCCATATATAACATTACACCCATTATACTCATACATACATGTATAGATACGGACATAAACACACACATACATACACAAAGAATCACAAACAAACAAACAAACAAAACATACATGTGTTTATTCTAAGATATATTTTTGAACGCAGCTAAAACGAGATCAGGGTGAAATTATTTGCATACAAAAACAAATTTTGTGCGAATGTATGGTAACAATTCAGTATCAATGCCATCATCCTTAAACTATACAGTTACCAGTTTTGTTGAAATGCAAATATGTTTAAGGAAGGACAAACACATCTTTGGTCTCACGTGACACGTTTATAGATTGTATGACTATTAACAAATACCATAGAAACGTTTGGATACTTTCATCACTACTACATTCATCTTTTACACCATTACATGAGTAACAAACAAAAAAGACAAAAATCATTTTCTTAAAAGGTATAGTTTTTGATTTTCAAACATATGCTTTGCTTAGTTAAAGCATATTAATATCTTCAAGTGTGTGAGTGAGTTTAGTTTTACGCCACACTCAGCAATATTCCAGCTATATGGCGGCGGTCTGTAAATAATCGAGTCTGGACCAGACAATCCAGTGATCAACAGCATGAGCATCGATCTGCGCAATTGGTAACCGATGACATGTGTCAACCAAGTCAGCGAGCCTGACCACCCGATCCCGTTAGTCGCCTCTTACGACAAGAACGGGTTACTGAAGATCAATTCTAACCCGGATCTTCACGAGTGGTAAAAACCGTAAACTCGTGAGATGTTATCACGAATGTTACGTAATAAGGCCAACGTGATGTCCATGACATAAATAGCATACATTCATGTCCCATGCAAAGTTTATCTGCTCTGTATTCAAGATATTGAGGTGAAAATGTATGACAACAAGTGACATGCGGTAAAGTGCACCGATCTCATGTGATGTATATACAACCCGACCTTCAATGCATTGTTTGGAAATATCTTCTCAAGGCCTTGAACTCATTGTGACAAGCGCAATTTCAAGAATGGTAAAAGAAGAATAACTTGACAGAATTTACAGGGGATTCTAAAGTTACCTTATTGTTCTCAAAGCCTAAGAAATGTAGTTTTTTCTCTCCATATGTTGCATTAAATAAGTTTATCAGGATTTGTTAAAAAACAAGATTATCCATCGACCAGTATGTGGAGATGTAACTGCCAACGATTATCGTGACATTCGACGCCACATTCTGTATAGGAAACTTCAGGAATATGTGCATGTCATAGTGAGTCACCTTTAGCAACATTCCAGCAATATCACGGCGGGGCACACCAGAAATAGGCTTCACACACTGTACCCATATGGGGAATCGAACCTGGGTCTTCAGCGTGACGAGCGAACGCTTTCACCACAAGGTTACCACACCGCCCCTGTGCATGTCATAAGTTAATGAAATGATGTTCATCAAGACAAGGTATATAAAGATTGTTTGTTTGTTTGTTGTTTAACGCCGCTCTCAGCAATATACCAGCAATATACCAGCTATATATGGCGGCGGCCGGTAAATAATCGATTAAGAACCAGACAACCCATTGATCAACAACATGAGTATCGACTTGCGCAACTGGGATGCGATGATATGTGTCAACTAAGTCGATCCCGTTGAGACATATCATCGCCTCTTACGACAAGTGTATGTTGCGGAAGACCAATTCCAAACCGGACCATTCGGGTTATACAACACCAAATCAGATTCCGTAGTTTCAGAGGCGCTTTTCCGTAGTTTAAGAAGCAGGCAGAATCATCTGACAGCTGCGATTGGATATTTTTGTGTGAGATTTTTGTTTAAAAAATATTTTCTTCTGTTAAATGTACATCCATCCAGGAATGAAAACTGACCATATTTTCCAATATATAGTGCTGTCTTTTTAAGCACAATGTTGAATGTGTGCACAGATATTTTCAAGTGGGTGACATTTGGTGTGGAACTGGGGTTGGTGTTTTCAGCTCGGAAAAGGAATTGGTTAACCAAACCTCATTGCGGCTATAAGGCCATACTGAGCATATATATACATTTAATGGCTGTCAACGACCAGGTTATTTTAAGACAATATAACGTTGTTATGGAAGTCTATGGGAAAACATTTTAGTTTTGTGTAACCTTCAGTGTACTTGTAACGGCCACAGGTTGTCGAGGTATTCATGGCCATGCACCCAAGCCGTGCAGGAATCAGGTACATGTAATCGTAACCTTCACACCACATGTAGGGGCTATCTATTCTTTATCTCACAAATATTTCAGTCATGCAGCGAGTACGGTTAGGTACTTTAACATTTGTTACTTTTCATGGGAAGCAAAGGGAACATATTTGTCATTTACATATTCCATGTACAAAACCTATTTCATTTTGTCCATGTGGTCATGAGTGTGTATAAAAATATTTCCTTGAGAACATCTGTATTAAATTACTAGACTCACATATCCACCAGTCTGTACAGTCCACAGACGCTCGAAGATTATTTTTCCACCAGGAAATGATATCTAACTTCAAATAAATGAATGAATGAATGAATGCATGAATGAATGAATGAATGAATGCAAATGAATCCTGATTAGGTGATTAACACAGAAAAACAACTTCTCTAAGTTTACCACGAGGCATAACTGAAAGGTACGTTTCAAGTGATTGGTTATTAGAGTAGACGTGGCTTGTGTTTTCTTTCAGTGTCACCAAGTTCTGTGTACAGTAATTTTATTCTACCATCTGTTTCCAGTTACACCTCTTATACAGAGCAAGGGGCGGTGGGGTAGTGTGGTTTTTGGCTCGTCACGCCGAAGACCTGGGTTCAATTCCCACATGGGTACAATGTGTGAAGCCCATATCTGGTGTCCCCCGCCGTGATGTTGCTGGAATATTGCTAAAAGCGGCGTAAAATCAAACTCAGTCAGTCAGTCTTATACGGCAAAAAAACTTATTGAAACTAGTTCTTAACAAACAAATAAACGACAGAATGTAGTAAAAGTCTTTTATGACGTACAATGTATGAGCATACACTACAAAATAATAGTAGAATACTGGCTGGAAATGTTATAAATCACAACCGAATGAACGAAAGGTCAACACAATTACAATATCACAGAATATGCCCTGTAATGTTATGCCTCATTAATTATTTTGTATATTTGACTAAAGACATAGTGGTATAAAAATTCTTGTTCGATGCAGCAGCTCACTATAAAAGTGAAATTTGTTTTACGTCGTTGTACAGTACTTGAGCTGTACTTCACGTCAGTGGACAAGTGATGGAGATGAAAATTGTGCTCCTATTTCTTCAAAGGAAAAGTTGAATTACAATAAATATTGCACGTGCAACAAATTCACTGTCAAATATACATATTGCACATCCGTGAAGATTCGGGTTTGAATTGATCTTCAGTAACCCATGCTTGTCGTAAAGACGACTAACGGGATCGGGTGGTCAGGCTCGCTGACTTGGTTGACACATGTCATCGTATCCCAATTGCGTAGAACGATACTCATGCTGTTGGTCACTGTATTGTCTGGTCCAGACACGATTATCTACAGACCGCCGCCATATAGCTGGGATATTGCTGAGTGCGGCGTTAAACAACAAACCAACCGATCAACATATTGCACATAGTTAAATTAGATGAAAAAGTGGTGATGTTGTATTACTCCAAGAAGAGGTCATGACTTTGACGTCTGTATGTGTCGAGATTCTTGAAGTCTCTGTTCCTTCCTGAATAGCGGAATGAATATTCTGAAAGAAGACAGGGCGATATGAATTAAATGCTACAGAAATACTAAATGGACATATTGACTAAACAATTACATGTACAGTTATCCGCTGTAGCTCATTGTTCATAGAAACATAAAACGTCAGTTGAATAGAACATCCTCAGAAACCGATATCCATGTGGTGTAAAGGACATGAAAACAGAGAAGAGCTGAGAACTTCAATTAAATGGATCACTGAAACTCGGTGATGGCATTGAAAATAGCCATCTGTCCTGTCCAACCGGTAGCACAATCCTTTCATGGCCAATAGTCATGTTGTCCTCTTTTACCATACACAGCAATATTCCAGCTGGGTCTGCTAGATATCTTGATATTGTATGACTACATATAATTTCGACCCATTCGCTACCACTGTTTTTGTTTGGAGGGCGACATCACTATATCTTATCATTGATTTTGACTTCGCACATACAGTGGAACCTGTCTACTACGGACTGGCCTGGGACCGCTTAATTTGTCCGGATTATAAAGCAGTCCGGATTAGCCAACTTGTAATTTCTTTTGCAAAACAGTTTCATTTCATTGGGAGTGTATGTTTGGAGTCATGTTTCAGCAGTACGAACGTTTCACTATCCGAACGTTTTTTTACAGAAACCGAAGTGTTCGTATTAACGAGGCCTGACTGTAATTCGATTCTGACTCAAACCGCTGCTATTGTAGCCAGTGGGTATATATCATACAAGATTGGGATTATTATACACAGAATAATCAAACATGTCACAATGTGATTATTAGGTGTGTAAAGATGCAGTAGGAACAAACAGCAATCATCAAAAATGGAGCCTTAAAATAGCATCTGTCGAGTGATCAAATGAGTGAGAACTAAACTATGGTTTTACGCCGATTTCACGGCAGGGAACACAGAAATGGGTTTCACACATTGTACCCATTAATAAGCTCTCCCACTGCCCCGTAAAAACATCATGGAATCGATATTCCAACTAACTTTACCGAAATCTCCATGTGTTTTCGGCAGTGGAGACCATACAGACGACAATGTATCAATTCTTTGTTTGACCAAGCAAGCATGACACTGTATTGACGGACAAACTATTAGTTTTAGCTACCTTTAAACCGATCTTAATATAAACCACGTTATACTCACAGGTACAGCACCAAGGCTGCCAGATGCATGGCCCCCATGGCAATGAACACGGCACCCCTCCAGTACGTCACTGTCCCTTGGTAGATGCTATTGAAGAGCGGAGTCCCGAATGTACTGCACGCAGCCTCCACGAGAGCCAGACTTGCAAACAGTGCCCCTAGTAATGGACAACGGATGATCAGAATATAAATATACAACCAGTATTAAAATTTGTGTCATAGTTTAATAATACTATAAGTTTGAATATTATAGTCCTCATATTACAAACAATATAACTGTTTTCTATATTAACATTTATGTTAAAGCTGAAACATACACACTATTGCTCAGACATATTGCTTCATGAACTGTGTATTCAGGGGAACTTAGTACATGCTTGTATAGTTTTTACTAAAAATCGTGAATGATTTATTTGCCTATGTATGATCGGCCAAACTTCCCCAAGCAGGCGAGGCGGTGGGACAACCTAGCGCATAAAGCGTTCACTTTTCCCCACATGGGTGCAAAGTGTGAAGCCTATTTCTGTCCCCCGCTGTGATATTGCTGGAACATTGCTTATAGTGATAAACCAACCCGCTCACTCTCTCACTTCACATTGAGCTTGTTGGGGATAAACCATACCTGTTCCAAATGTAATGTTTTAAGATTACACCTTCTCAGTAAAGTACAGATTTCCCACCCATAGATTAGACACCACACACTCAACATGAGGCGCCTAGTCCCAAAACGCCAGTGATCTAACCCACTCAGCCAGCGACAACATGGAAGTACAGCTGGACTCTAGATGAACTTTGTATCAATCTGACAAATTTTGGCGCAGCTCCAAAGGCCGAAAGCTATGTATACAGAATGCCTTTTAGAAAGTGGTCATAAGTAACTAATTTCGGATTACTCTTTCTCAGTAATGTGAGTGAGTGATTGAGTTTAGTTTTACGCCTTGGACCAAGGCTACTGTCCGCTAGTCTAGACTTGCCTCTTTAAAGGATAGAATTACTGATCAACCATTGGCTTAGCATTCATTACAGCCTTGGAGCAAGGCCCGCTCAAAGGTCAAGCGGGTCAAGCCACTCATACAGTCAACACAAGGCCTTGGGCTCTAAACATGTGGCCAGTTCAGTCGTAGATACTTTTCAGTTTGAATGGATACAAACTTTGGAAACTGAACAACCTCCGCTCTGTTAATTTAAGGTAAGGTGATGCTATGTTGTTTGTCTTTTCCTTGAACATTTATTGTAAATATGTAGTTTGGAGTGACAGTAGTCTGTCTCACAGTCCCTGAACTACAATCTTTTCCCTTCCACCCAGCCCTCCATGCAATGCTAAAGCCCCAAATAAAGCAAGTCTAGAATCTCCCCCAACTCTCTAGGGCTCCTTTTCAAATTAAATGGGATTATTTGTTACTGTCAATATTATATATACTCTCCCAAAAAAGAAACGCATCATGAAAATACTAGCAATTTAAAATAGCAATGAATTAAAACGTGATTCATTTTACCAAAGGTTTTGCTCTGTTTATGAGTCCTATGGTGTTCGCTATATTTCATTGACTTATAAAGCCTACAAGATGTTTCAAAATAAACATAAAAATACAGTTGAAATTCCTATATGCGTTTCTTTTTTGGGAGAGTATATATTCAGGGACTAAGCGTTAGTCTAGGGTGAGAGGATCGGAATCCTTCTCCAGAGTCGTACTCATGTCTTCAAAGATGGCTTTTGATATTATCCCCTGGTTTCTGCTTGTATTTGCATAATCAGTAATCAGGAGTAATCAGTTCTACTAAGTGAATCTCTCAAACTCTCAGTCAGTGTCACGCATGGAGAGGCAACAACACCCAAACGCAACCCTCTTTCCCTTCCTTCATCCAAACTACGTGTTGTAAAAAAAGTTAAATTGTCCAAAATGTTTTTCTACGTTTTAAGATATATGCTAGCTAGTTGTAACTATTTCTGTGATAGTCTCTTTGTTTTACAGAGTTTATTTTGAAACTTATCAAACTTTCAGGAAACACCTAAAAACATAATTGTTCAGGCAGGCATATCCCTCACTAGCCTGCTAGACTGTAACAGCGCCGTTGGGCAGCAGATACGCTGGAAAACAGGCGCTATAGAAATTAATTATACAATTATCATTATCATTATTATTAAAAATTTTTTATTAATGCATAACTTTTTTAGTCTTGATATGGCTGAAATACTGTCGACGTGACTAAAAACATTCACTCACTGCAATATATGGTGCACCCTGAGGGACTGAAATTCACAATAACAGGATACAAATTCTAATGTCCCAAATATACAACGTTTCTACACAATCAACACACGACAGTCAGTTTTATCAAGTATTATGAAGAGAAGAAGGTCAAAATCACATTTCCTGTACACATGTCAAGATACAAATCAGATAGGATTTCAGTCAGTAATACAGGTACACTGGTGATGACTCTTTACTTTGACATGATAAGGTATCTATGTTGTCATATTATATAACATTATCAGTACATTCTTCATCGGCGTACCCTGTTTACTTTGAGGCGCCATCTTGGACATGATGCCCCGGATGATAGGAGTAGCGGCAAATCCGACAAGTCCGACAACAGGAACTGAAACGAAACGTGATTGTAGAGTATACATGTTAATACATAAACGTTGTAATGCAAAGGGGCGGTGGGGTAGCCTAGTGGTTAAAGCGTTCGCTCGTCACGCCGAAGACCCGGGGTCGATTCCCCACATGGGTACAATGTGTGAAGCCCATTTTTGGTGTTCCCCGCCGTGATATTGCTGGAATATTGCTAAAAGAGGCGTACAACTAAAACCTCACTCACTCACTAGTCCTTAGATGCATGTGGCGTAGATAATCTGACAGTGTATAACATATTTAGCATAACAATTAACAAGTCACGCGATGCTCCAGTCAGTTATAGCAGTCAAAGAGTATGCAGTAAATTATCGAGTCTAAAAAAGACAAAGCAGTGAGTGATATTATAAGCATCGGCCAACGCCTTCGGGGTAAAATGTCAGGCAGTGAATGCATAATCCTTTCCTGACACACATGTCATCGTATCCAAATTCATAGGTCGATGTTCATGCTGTTGATCAGAGGATTGTTTGGTCCAGACTTGCCTATTTACAGACCGCCGCTATACAGCTGGAATATTGCTGAGTGCAGCGTAACACAACAAACCAACCAAACCAAATTATAATGGTCCCCTCCCTTACATGTTGCATAACAACATCATCATCATCATCATCAACAACAAAAACAACAACAACATCAACAAACATAATGGATATTAGCGATGAGTTTTTAGTCCATCCGTGTAACCTTTGACTATTTCTCCGTTCAGTGGATCACTGTAGACTGTTTATCCCTGGGCCCCATTTCACAAAAAGATCTAAGGTCTACGATCTAAAAGATCTACGAGCTAAAGTGATCGTAACTCCCATACTTTAACACTTACGACAGTCGTAGCGCTACGATCGCTACGAAACTGGTCCCTGGGGATTACACACTCCAAACTGTCTGTTAGGTAAGCGTTAAGCTTATGAAAATTTCTAAATTATTCTAAACGATCCCCTCCAGCTGTGTTTGAACATCTAATATCAGAATACAAATCTTACCTCCTGCATACAGCATGAAGTCGTTTTTAGCAAATCCCCACATGAGGTCTCCCCCGATAGCTGACAGCGTCGCCACGACAGCAACAACTTCATCCGTCATACAGCACTGCAAGCCCTTCACTATAAACACCCCGACCAAGTTCTTCACCAAGTAGGTGACGGTGCCGAACAGACCCATCTTTTCCGGGCTCCAGCAGAACGGCAGGTTCATCTCAAACAGCGTGTCCAGATTGGACCCACTCGAGTTGTTGATGATGGAAAAGAGGAATATCAACAGCCCTAACCAGATGATACCTCTCTTTAATCGCGTCCCTTGGAAGACGTACACGCTTACAATGTTCCGTAAACCCTGTATGGGGGTAATACAGGACTGCTGTTGCCTTGGACAAGTCTCCTCCATGAACAGGACCACGACGAAGATTCCTAAGCCGATGACCAGAGCTGAGGTTAACGATGGATAGAAGTAGCCCGTGGCTTCGATGAAGTACCCCACTGCTAGAGATGTCAGAGCAGTGCTGACACCAGTGACAGACTCAATGACTGCCATCCAGAGAGATCGGGACTGTTGAGGGGGTGTATTGTCAGCCGTGTAGGCACACGACACCAGTGTGAAGGCCCATGAACCTCCACACAGACCATACAGACCCATCGCAAGGAAGAAGTAGTCGAGGTTTAGGTCCCAATGTATTATTACCACCGTAATAACGGTCCGTAACACATTCCCTGTCATAGATAGAACATAAAGGAACTTCCTGCCAAAGAAGTCAGAGTAGGTGCCTAGAAGTACGTTAGATAGGACAGCAATACCACTGGACGCTACAGTAAACATGGAAAGCTTCTCTGAGGACTGAATCTGTGCCCTCTCCTGAAGGATGTAGCCTTGGTCCGATGTGTTCTGGAAGCATGGGGCAAGAGTTGAGAAGTTCTTTGCTCTCGTGTCATTGCCGAACACCTGTAGGGAGATTCTGTGGTACACGTACTGAGACATGACAGGGGAAAAGATGGCGCTGGCTACCGTTAGGATGCAGACCACAACGTTTGCAAGGACCAGGTTGAAGAGACTGGATCGCCGTCCAATGACCTTCCCACAGCTGCTGAAAAATGAACCACAATCGTCACTTATTTTATTATGGCAAATTCTTCCAAGATGTAATTTGTTTAACGCCACACTCAGCAATATTCCAGCTACATGACGACGGTCTGTAAATACTGGAGTCTGGACCAGACAATTAAGTGATCAATATCATGAGCATCGATCTACACTATTGGGATACGATGACATATGTCAACCAAGTCACCCTACCCGTTGGTGACCTTTAGGACAAGCGTGGGTCACTGATGACCAATCCTAACCTGGACCTTCACAGGTGCAAATTCTTCAAAGGAGAGAGACGTTTTCAAGTCATTGTCATTTGTCTGTTATCTGGCCAGTATGCTACAAACATGAGTTATAGATGCACATCACTTGATATTATATATAACATAGATATCATGATTTTTTTACATGGCCCAATCGCTTTGGCCTCGGCCATGTACTGTCCCAGAATGGTGTATCTTGGTGTTGTCGGGATCCAGTGATTGTTTAATCGAACCCAAAAGTCGCAATAATTTCGACCCTCGTGCTGTCAGCACTTTAAAAACGTTGTCGTCTATTTCACTAAAGAGTTAAATATCAGACATTTCACGCCGTGAAGGTACAAAAGAACCGTTCAAATCGGTTTGAAAAGCCAATTTACACACTCGATACATTTAACGATTTATATTACAGGAACATTCGCATTAAAATATGTATCATGTTGCAGTAAGACCTCTTTAAATACTTCCCGATATAGTTGGGATGTTGCTGAGTGCGTCGTTAAACAACAAACTTCCTGAACATCTGTTTATATAGAAACAGCTGGACGATTGTGTCAATATTTGCAATTCTGAGATATTTGAATTTTTAGATCCATCATGAAGGACCGCTCCACAGATATGCCTCCATCATTTGAAAATTTTAGTGTTATGGATACCTTCCCTGAAGTGAAGATGACATATCTACCCTTACAAAAGTAGGGAAACTACATTTTTATTTACGATTGAAAACATTGGGATATATGTTGGAGTCAATCAATGTTGATATGATAATAACGAATGTTTTAAGAGTGCATAACCACTTGCCCTTCCTTATGGCCATAGTTTGTTTGTACAGTAATCGCTCTTGAGGGATGATTGGTATATGACGTGAAATTTGCATGTGCACGATTTTCATTTTCAAACAAAACAAAACCGACTAGAAACAAACTCTAACAACTGTGTGATGCAAGATGATTGTCAAAATTAATGGTCTACAATGATTTATCGACCTTCTTGAAAACCGTCAAAATCAAGAATGACACCCCATGCACGTGTATGGGGCTACTGTGTTGTGAACGTGCGTTCCATGCGTTAGGGATGGTGACAAAGGCAAATGGTGGTGTGTTCATAAGATATCTGTCTTTGAAAAGTTTGTTAACGCTTACACTTCCTATTCAGGTTACCGTGCTTTGTTTGAAGGGTATAATTATAATACCCTACTGTCTGTCAGTCTTTTGTGAAAGATTATCACAGAGGCTCAATTTTCCTCGGTATCGAGGAGAGTTACGTCCCTTTCATATGTCAGTCGATTCTTCCAATCAAAGATTCGCTTCGATTTTAACGGGTACCTTGGTCTTACAAGTGCTGGTGGGTGGAACAAAAGTGTTAAATGTCTACTTCATACACAACATCAACCTTTCCATCCCCATTGCAACATCGTTAAGTATGTGAACTCATTAAGGAGAGCGTGGGCCAATTACCAGTTGGTGGCGGTAGGAAGTGTGAGTTACATAACATGTAGATTGCCCGGGCAGAGAGAGCCCCGTGGCGTTAGACTGTCAGAATGCTGTTTACCAACCTTGGAGGTGAGATCTCGTTGGGCTGACTCGAGAGCAGGGGTGATTTCTCGCTATCCGACGCCATCTTAGATTGATCGCAGTAACGCGTTCAGTGAACTGGTGAAAGCCTTTCTATTCAGTGGTAGAAATGTGTTATCTAATCAAGTATAAAATATCCCGAACGGTCAATGTTAGAGATCAGACCCTAATGCAATGCCCCATTACACCAAAGAAATATATCTGCCAGTCATTGTCGGTCACATGACGGGTAGCAAGTCACACTAAGTGTTGTGTTCTAAACAAACATATCCTCGTGATCGCATGTGATCCCGTTATAAAACGCGATGCGTCAAGTGGTGTGACTCGATATAACGCGCCCGGCTGCGTGACTGTGATAAATGGAAACAAATACTTGTACGGTTGACCAAAATGTATAAGAAGGTATATATTATTAATTGCCCAAAGACCCCCACCCCACACCACACCACACCACACCACCCCACCCCACCCCGAAAAATAAGAATTAATAAAAAAAAATTATATACATAAAAAAACAAAACCAACAATGCTTTCGCCCATTTATGAGTGACTGTGTAACTTGACATTATATTATTTATTGCAAAAACGCCTCGTGACAAAATAAATACTAATAAAACAGAAACACAATGCTTTTCCTTCTTTGTGAAGAAGGCGTATTTACCTTCCAACTACACAAGGTTGTGATAGTGTATATTATAATTTAATATGCAACGATGCTCTCTTTGACTATTGTGAATATCTATACAAACATATTATTTACGCTGTTCTGGAATGCATAATGCTCACAAATGGTGACAGCTGTGTAACCATTAACGCAACATGACACAACACGCAAGTGGTTACTCACCCATACTGTCCATACATGTTCTAGCGCCAAAACAATTTTAACAGCATTAGTGAGTGAGTTTAGTTTTACGCCGTTTTTAGCAATATTCCAGCAATATCACGGTGGGGGTAGCCTATAGCTAGTGGTCAAAGCGTTCGCTCGTCACGCCGAAGACCCGGGTTCGATTCCCTACGTGGATACAATGTCTAAAGCCCATTTCTGGTGTTCCCCTGCCGTGATATTGCTGGAATATTGCTAAAAGCGGCGTAAAATTAAACTCACTCACTCACTGGTTGTGGACGCCGGTGAGAGTTGAACTTTATAAGAAGATACGGTTTACTGTTCGTACCTCGTGGTGTAATGCTATCTGTCCTAGATATGTCTGTATGTCACAATCTAGAACAATGGATTAGATTGTCATTGTATACACGTATCATAATGTAGGTGAATTCCTGGACAGGGCGCAGATAGGTAAGGATAGGTCTCCAACCCTGCTTGTCGTAATATCTGGAAACAAAGTTCTCCAGATGATTGAATCACATCTCAATGGTATCGTTGCTCATGCTATCAGTCACCGGTTTGTCTGACCCAACTGCAGCGTTAAACACTAACCACCTATTTACTGATAATATCAGAAACACCTATATTTACATCAACTATGGGACAAAAACTGGGAAATAAATGTTTGGAACTGGAAAATACCTTCGAGACAACCATACCTTCGACACATCAGTTAGAGTTCATGTGCTGTTTTACGCATATTTTAGCATATTCCAGCACTACCAAGGCGGGAGACACAAGAAATAGGCTTCACACATTGTACCCATGTGGGGAATCGAACGTTTTAACCGCTAGGCAACCCCACCGCTCCCAGTTCGACACATCAGGGGTTAAATAATGATAAATAAAGAACGAATACACAGCGGACCAGCTATTACTTCGAGACAACAAAAGAAAGTTCGACATAACGTGGTTTGACTGTATACATCTCAGTGGATTTTGTTTTGAGGTATAGTGTAATGGACACAGCCTCGATTCGTTTCACCGAAACCTGTTTCCAATGTGCCCCGCCCTAACTCAATTTTGTAAAAAGGCCTAAAGCACACGTGTTCTGATCGGCATTACCTAACGCCTGTAGCACGCTAAGCCCGTGTCATGGCGTAAGAATATTCAGCCAAAAACGCTTGAAAAATAATACAAGGGTGTTATACAAGCGTCCAGTTAAGAAGCCACAATTCCCTGTACAGAGTTGTGTCCCTTTGACACGCCGGAACCTATGATCATGTGTTCGACTGCCGGGTCGCCCCAATCAAATGTCTAGGTTTACCAGCACCATAACTTTGGTACTGGGCTTCATCAAAGTGTCAAACGCCTATCACTTGCGCCCCCTGCATCAGTTCGGCATCAGTCAAAAGTTTCCTGCATTCCGTCGGAGTCAGCACTTGCCAGACGCCTGTTCTGTCGCAGAGGTGAAGGTTGCAGGACCCCGCGAAAAAAGTGTTGACACCGCCTGGCACATTCACAGTCATTTCGTTTTGCGACAAAGTTGGAAAGGTCGATACGTCCGGGACGAAGGGCCCCGCCGATCAATAGTGCAGGAAGGCGAAAAACATAGCTGGATTTAATTTCTATAGCTGGCAGAAATTGGAATAAGTGACGATTCTGCTGTTTATTTTAGATCACTGTCATTGTTCATTGTGTTCGATTGCCGCATTGTTTGATAAGGAGGGACGTAACGGCCCGACGGATTCCGGGTTCGGATGGTCCACGTGCTGCCGTTTCATTCTTGGGTTTTCTAAAACCAGGAGCCTTCAGTTCGGTTGGCGACGAAACAATGTGTTGGAACATGGAACGTGTTTGGTATCAGTGTACGTTTGAAGTAAAGTAGGTCACTGGGCTCATTGTGATCACGTGGACGTTTGGCTGCATGCGTAGCATACAACAGCATATGACAGCATACGTTTAGGGTTCATCTACATCTTCCCATATTGGGATTCCTACTTTTATCGTCAAACGTGCGGTACTCCAGAATAGTGTTCTCAACAACGCATCTCCCCAGTGCATGGATCTATGTTTGTTCGTGACCTTGAGACCAAAGCGAGAAGATTATAAAATCTTTGTTAATATTTGCACAGGGACTTGTGCATACAACTGGTGCATATTCGGAAGTATATTCACTTCATCATCGGATAAAGGATCAGATCGGTTGGGTAAGGAAGCTTCCATGCGTGGGTATGATTGGTGGCGGTGTTGCAGGTGTAGGGTCGGAGGATGAGAGCAGTATTTTATGAATAATACCTTAATAAGATTTTAACAATACTGGACACAATTAAGTTTTAACAAATTGAAAAGAAACCAGTATTTTTTGTTTAGTCTTTGCACTGAACCTGGTAAATATTATTTTGAGACCACCCCCAGAAGTAAAATGATGCTGGTCTGTTTAGGCTAGATGTGCCTAATACTCAATATTTACTTTATTTACAAAACTAAGATATCGCAATGTTTCTTACAAAATAAACTTCATATTACATTTTTTTACCAAGTTTTAACTCGTTCAATATACATGTAAGCAGAGTCGATAAACATATAATTTCCTTGTAAATAGAGATACATGTATTTTAATCGATCTTATAATCTATTTTCGAAAGTTTTAAGGAACAATTTTATTCTTCAAACTTGTTTTCATAAATGGTATTTTGGGTTATATTCATTATGTCTTATTCAAGAAGGTTTGACCTTTCCTTCAAACTGTACATTCCGTTGTTGATAATCTGTGATTACCGAATTGGGTTTGTAAAGAAAACCACTTATTGATCCTTCTTAATTTGGTTTGAAATAACATGCATGTTGTAGCAATGTTTCCAATTTTAATTCATTGTGTATGGGGGTTCGAATTAATTGCAATTCGTACTTGGCATCGAGATGGTAGCTCTGACCATTGGACTTCGGCCAAGCAACTGATCTAGGAGAGAGCGCCAATAGTTATGATTTGACTGTGTACATGAAACAACGATGGGCGTTTTAAGGGAATACTGGAATGGCTCTCTCTCTCTCTCTCTCTCTCTCTCTCTCTCTCTCTCTCTCTCTCTCTCTCTCTCTCTCTCTCTCTCTCTCTCTCTCTCTCTCTCTCTCTCTCTCTCGGCGGGTGTGTGGAGGTGCTGGTGTGTGTGGTGCTGGTGTGTGTGTGTGTGTGTGTGTGGTGCTGGTGTGTGTCTGTTTCTCTCTCTCTCTCTCTCTCTCTCTCTCTGTGTGTGTGTGTGTGTGTGTGTGTGTGTGTGTGTGTGTGTGTGTCTGTGTCTGTGTCATTGATCCATTTCCATACAGGAAAGATAACATTGACAAGTGTCACAGTGTACGAACTTTCAGCAGTGTTTTTTCCGTGTTTTTTAACTGCATGTCGAACCTTAGTTGACCTTAGTAATCAGTCCTATCGACCACGAACAAAACAATATGACTTCTAAGCGAATAGTGATCTGCTATGCCATCAATTCTGACTCAAACGCGACGCCATGTTTGTATAATAACACAGAAAATATAAATTACCCAGCGGACCGTTCATATTTGCCTATTTATTCGTAAATAACATCCATAAATGACAGATACCGTTATTTTATCCCTTGCCCTTGTCCTTCGCAGTGTAAACAACCCATTCTACGATGATTACATGTGTACTGGTATGCATAAATGGTTTGAGGGCGGTGGGGTAGCCTAGTGGTTAAAGCGTTGGCTCGTCACGCCGAAGACCAGGTTCGAATCCCAACATGGGTACAATGTGGTAAATTATACTTAAGCCTCACCCGTTGATTACAAATCTACAATGTTGTGTAATAACATCGCGTGCTGTCGGAACTATTTGCACTCGGTCACGTGACCAAAGTAACGTGGTCAAAACAAAGTTTCAACTGTTCGGTTGCGTGTTATACCATTTATATAAAAAGAGATTATGTTGGTTGAAGTCATTTGGTCTCTTTTTCATACACCCTAACCTATTTTTACAAAATAAAATCAAATAGACTAATGCTGACAATCATAAATGAAATGTATTCATACGCGTGACCCCTGTAATGACGGCGTAAAGCACCCGTAAAGTAAGTTGAATTCTGAGATATTATTTTGCTAATGTTGGGTGAGTAATGAATAAAATACTTAACGATGTCCCGTGAAATACCACGAGCGAAAGCGAGTTAGATATCAATACCATTCACAAGTTTCATAAATATGGTATTACACGGGACATCGTTTAGTATTCTCTATGTCTCCGAGAAGGTGAATTGTAAGGCACGAGTGTCTTTCCAAGGCAATATAACTTATACATTCTTCGTCGCCGCATTAAACACAACTCATGTACTCGATCAAGGAGAAATCAGTCTGATGTGGACTTCACCTCATTACCAGTAAGTCCTTTTTGGATGATTATCCACTCGCGCGGAACCATAGGATATC